ACTATTATTATTTGTTTACAAAAATAAATGTTTTAAATATATATTATTTAAATTGTCAAAATTTTGAAAGTTTATTATAAATTATAGATTTTATTAATATATTCTTATTTTTTATTTAAAAAGTATGTATTTTTTTTGTAAATGTAATTTTGTGTGTATGTTTTTTATCGTAATGTAACCTTTTAAAGCAAATTTTATGATTTAATTTGTAAACAAAGACTTACAAAAATAATTGCGTTTTCAATGAAGTTATTAATAATCATTAAAGTTAATAAAACTAATTATGTAACTAACATATAAGAAGTTTCTGGTTACTAAACACAAACAATGCATACAAAGTAACTTGCGGATGAACAAGTATCGCGCCTGAGGTCACGACAGAGCACAAATATATATAACAAGTTATTAGATATAAAGAATTTATAAAGTTTCTAGATATTGGTTTACTAATTCTAATTATTTTTGCTAAAGTTGCCATTCTTAAAAACTCATACTTTTTTCTGCTTTAAATACTAATTAAAAATAAAAAGCCCACTCACTCAACATCATCAGCAATATTGTGTAGCAGTTTCGCTTCCTTGTCATAAAGTATTTTTAACCTTTTTAGTTAAGTTTTATCTAGTTAATTTAATTTCTATAGTAATTCAATGATTTAATTATTTCATTTTGTTTATCTTACAAAGAAGAATTGTTTCAAATATGTTAAACTTTTCAAACTACACAAAACATAAAATAGGTATTAGAAAAATTAACTTTTTTATTTATAAAATAATTTAGCTTAGATAAAACTAAAACTTGCAAACTTTGTTAAATAAAGAACATTTGTTTCCTTTTTAAACAATCACAAGATGTTACTTTACTTTTTAACTTTACTTAATTTTATAAAAAAATTATAAGAGCGATGTTTCGAAAATATTTGTTCTAAACTTAATTTATTTTGCTTTAAGTTTTTTCGCATTAAAAGATATTTTATTTTCCTAATTTTTTTTTGTGTAATTGTTTCTCATTGGTTCAATTAATCTTTTGCGCATTTTTTTTTTCTTTTTGAAATGTTCTCAAAACAGCTAAAAAATCTGGCCAGCTTATCGCAACTAAATATTATTTCTGTGGTCAGCAATCAAGAGGGATCCCTCCTGCTTCCCGACCAAGCCTGTAAATGCATTAATATGTTTGTCAAGACTACTATAATTAAAATAGTCTTATTTTAAAACACTAACTCACAAACAATCTATTTATATGTTTTATAACACTTTTTGTGTAACCAATCATATTGTTATGTTGTGTAAATTTTGTAAAAGGAAATTCGTAATTAAAATATGTCACAAATATAAATTTTTTTATGTTTCTTCATGTCTTTTTTTTATTTTATTTAAATTACCTATTAAAGTGTAGCAAATTCAAATGTAACGTAACGTTAAAAAAATCTATGTATAAGATGTAAAAAAAGATTGCTGCTCCAACACAAATCTCTACTCAGCAGAACTTCTTGCATGTTTTTCCTATTCAGTCAGTCAATATACTGAAGCTCCCTGCAGCCCCCTATTTCAGTATGACATCAGACTATTTATTAAAGTATGCAATTATATATATATATATATATATATATATATATATATATATATATATATATATATATATATATATATATATATATATATATATATATATATATATATATATATATATATATATATATATATATATATATATATATATAATATTATATATATATATATGTATATATATATATATATATATATATATATATATATATATATATATATAATATTATATATATATATATGTATATATATATATATATATATATATATATATATATATATATATATATATATATATATAATATTATATATATATATATAAATATATATATATATATATATATATATAATATTATATATATATATATATATATATATATAATATATATATATATATATATATATATATATAATATTATATATATATATATATATATATATATATATATATATATATATATATATATATATATATATATATATATATATATATATATATATATATATATATATATATATATATATATATATATATGATTTTTTTATTTTACAGAATAAAGTTTTGCTAGCTTTAAATAAACCTTCTAATGGTAACCATGTTATATCTAGCTGTATCAAAAAAGGTATAATTTCTTTTGAAACTTATTTATGCATTTTTGTAAAATCTATGGTTTATGCATGCAATTAACATTAGAGTTCCATAAATAAATTATAGATTTTTTAAATTACAAACTCCATTTCAATAAGTTAATAAGATTAAAAAACTACAGATTTTATAAATCAGAAAAAAATGGCAATGGAAACTTCTCTAATACAGACTTTTTTAACAATAGTTATTCACATAGTATTGAGTGAGATTTTAAAATCCAACTTATATGGTTTTACTGCTTTTTTCAATAAATAGTACACAAGTTTTATTTGACTATTGAGCCATAAAAATTGGTAACCGCATTAAATTACTTTATGTTTTTTGTTAAAACGATTGTCTTTATTTTCATAACAATTAATGTTAAACAAGAGTAATAAGTCCATATCAAATTCACAATTATTTTTGTTGGTACCATAATTACATTGCAGCCATAATTATTTTTTTTTGTGTTCATAATTAATTTTGTTGCGTCCTTAATTATTTTCATAATAAATATACTTTAGCCTATAATGGCAAACAAAAACAATACAAACCTCAATAATTTGAATGTTGAAACTGAAGAACATATAAAAAACAACTGCAACTGAAGAAAATATTTCTACAAGAAAAAAGAATGATGAATAGCAATGAATCAAGTCAATCTATCGCAAATCCAATAGTTCTTTTAATCAGCACAGTTTAAAACTGGATACAAAAACTTAAACAAGATCAAAATATGTCTAAAAAATGTGACAGACCAGCATGAGATAATATTGAAAGAAAGAGAGAAATTGAATTAATAATTTATGCAAATAATGCGTTAACTATAATTGGCATTGCAGAATTAATGCCTGAAGAACATAAATGCTCAACAACTATAATTAAAAGAGAATTAAAACAAATGGGATATACCCATAAAAGACCTTAATCTGTCATTGCAAGAAATTCAGCTCATATAATAGCAACAAAATTCATGTTTTGCAATCATGTTTCTTTTCTGCAAGATTCTGATCTGGTTTTTATTGATCAAATCGGTTTTAACTTGCACCATTCACAACATTATGGATATGCATTATTGGAAGTATCAATGTATATTACAGTTTATCAACTGGTGCCAGAAATGTACAAACTGATCAACTTGAGACGTTCAAAGTCATGAACTCTTTGAATTTTAATGATTTGATTATTCATTAACAAGTTTGTCTAAAAATCATGTAGCTATTTTAGACAAATGGTCAAATTCAGCTGAAGCTATAAGATATTTAACTAATATTGAGTTATTGATAAAAAAACAAGTTATTACAAAAAGTTTATCTTCTATGAAAATTTTAACTATTGATGATACACTATATTTTTCAAACACTATTGTTTGAGCTTTTAAATATTTTTCTATTTCAAGAGCACTTTATAAGCGAGTTAAAATGATTATCAGCTTCCCAGTGTGTCTACTCTACAAAAATTGACATCAAAAGCTTCAAAATTAAATAATGATGACTTTTTTCTCTCTCTCTCTTTTTGAAACTTTTGAAGAGAAACCATGGCTGACTAAAAATAACACTTTTTTACATTACAATTATGTTCATATATAACATAAGAAATAATTGTATTACTGAAAAAACTCAAGAAATTCAGTTTAAGGACAATGATGATAATTTAATTGCAAGGTGGGATGATCTTAAGTACCTTTACAACTTAGAAAGTAAAACACTTGTGACTCTTTCACATTTAAATACACCTTCAATCTTTCCAAAACCTGTTGAGAGACAAAATGTTTCTTTGTGATGAAACACTTTCTGCTTTATCAACACATCCTAAAATAGACAAAGCCAGTATTAAAGGAACTGTTGTATTTCTAAAAAAAGTTATAGATGCATGGAAAATTATTAATCTTCACAAACTGGGTGATGATAAAAGGTTAAGAGACCCATTGCGGTTTGTTATCGGATCACCAGATGATCTTCGTCTGCAACAGATACTTTCATTATCACAAGTCTGTGAAGATATGGATTGCCATAAAGGAAAAAAGAATTAAAACACTGACTGTTGAAACATCTAAAGCAATAGTTCATACCTTAAAAGGAATAGTTGAGTTTACAAAATATTTGTTAAGTACATCTCACAAATTTGTAAAACTTGGAGACTTTACATCTGACCCTATTGAAAAAGCATTTAGTAAGTTGCGTCAAGGTGCTGGTCGTGCTTATTTTATTTCAGTTCAACAAGTTTTAGAAAAAACTAAAATTGAGCACTCAAAACTACTTTTATAATCAGACTTTCATGATCTTCATGTTGGTCATACTTGCATAAACTGTCTGAGACAACTAGCACAAAAGGAAAGTGAAATATTTAATTCTTTGAAAATATTCTACTTTAACTGATGCTGTTAAAATGACTTTATGTTATTTTTAGTCAGCCAAAAAAAGTTTACATTGACTTTATTATTGTCACATATAATCGCAACACATCTTCCACATGCATTGGTGGTTACCTTCAATTTAAGATTGGTTATGAAGATCTTGACACTGATACATATTCATACTGTAACGAGTATTGTACTTATCTCAAAGACTTAGAGGTGGTTTGACAATTCAACTGACATTCAATGTCAATTTACTTTATTTTGTTATTTTATTGCACTGGATCTGACTTTGCCAGTTTTTTTGCATTATCTTACTACTTTAAATCAATTGAAAATTTATATTTTTTTGGTTATTTTAAGAATAATATGTGTATGAAAAGTTTTAAAATTTTGTCAAATATTTTTTTAAATAATTATTCAATGCTAAACACTCAACGCACTTACAAAAAGCCAGCTCAAAAAGTTTAAAACTGAGTGATTAAGTTAAAACTTTTGTTATTTTTGTTGTTTTATGTAAAACTCTTTTTAATAAATTATGTTTCTTTGAAATTTTGTAATATTTTCTCTTTAATAAATATAAAATAAGTATGCCTTTAGTTAGCAAGTTAGATAACAATTGTAATTTGTTAAAATATTTTTATAAATCAAAATTAAGTCTAAATTAAATTTTTACTAATCGGCTTCCAGTTTTTAAGTTTTGCCGCTCATGTAATAGGCCTGTGCTTTAGATAGCCGTGCATTTACTGAAAAACATTTAAAAAATAAAGTATTTTTTATTACAAAAATAATTATGGACACAACAAAAATAATTATAAACGCAACGAAAATAATTATGGATTCAGCAAAAATAATACGGATGCAATGTAAATAGTTGTGGACAATACTGTATTATTTAATTCTTTTTAAAATGTTTTTTTTTGATTTGAATTAAACTTCTTGATATTTATCATTTTATAAAAATTAAATTAGATTATTTTAGAAAAGTAAAAAAAATGTTTAATATTTGAAGTTTTTTTACACTTATAAATAAAGTAGCTACATGACTATTTAAAGTTATATGAAACAGTAATTACATAGCAGTAAAATTATTTTGTTACCATTTTAGACTGTAAATAATTGATTGTAGTGGAAGCTAAATTTAAACTTAAATGATAAAAGTTGATGTTTTTAGAATTAGGGTGTTAATTGTTGATGTTGAATAGTGTTAAATGATGGTATTGAATGGTATTGAATGGTGCAGTGTTGATTAAGAATTTAAAATTTAAAAGCAGTAAAAAAAATATAGTTGTCTTTTGTAACTAATCGCTTAAAATTTTTGCAACTTTAAAATTTTTGGGTGCCCCATCAAATGATGCTTGTACAATCATTATCCCCTAAAATTGACACTCCATTTATTCTATTTTTTGTTTATTTTTGTAGAACATCTGTACTGCTAGATTATTTATGAAAAACTTTATAAACTTGTGAAAAAATTACTTTTTTTAATTCTAAGCAATGTTTTAATAATCTATTTTTTTGAAGATATATGCTATTGAATAATTTAATATTGAAAATATTAAATTATTAATGAAAAATCTTAAATGTAATATTTAGATTTAAAAGTTGAAATTACTGGCGTACCAAAAGATGCTAAGGAAGTTGCAAAAAAGTTGTTAGCATCTGGGGTAAATTACACTCTCAGCTAGTTTTTTAATGTTTTTTATTTTTAATTATTTCATTATTTATTATGTTACATATTTTTATACATTCTATACAAATATGTAACTAAGTTACATATTTATATACAAGCTATATATGAAGTTGCGTACATGCTTTTTACTAAATTACAAGCTTTATACCTGTTTATTTGGCTTTTCATAAAAAACCAATCTATTTTTAACTGTCTCTTTAGTAATATGTATCACTAGAGTAATGAGTAAGAAAAACCAATCTATTTTTTGCAGTATGAAATCTGCTTTTTGGTGAATTTTAAAAAAATTGATAAATTAAAATTAAATAAATTAAAATAATAATGTATAATATTAATAAATAATAATAATAATAAAAAATTAAAAAAAAAAAAAATTATGTAAATGTTTTTTAAGAATGAAAGAAATATTTAATTTCTCAAATATTCAAATTTGACTGAAAATATAAGATACACATTATATTGTATACTGGTCTTTCATACTTCTTTTTAGCATCAAATGACCTTCATCTTCTTTCTGCTTTATTATTATTATTGTTATTATTATTATTATTATTATTATTATTATTATTATTATTATTTTAGATCTTGTTTCTGTTATTTTATTTATTTTTGATCTTCTCTTGTATTATTTTTTGTTCTTTGTAAATCTTTTTCTTTTCTTCTTTCTCCCTTTTTTCCTTATATTTTTTCCCTCTTTTTAATCCATTTCCAAAACATAGTCACCACCACTGAACATAGTCACCACCACTGAACATAGTCACCACCACTAAACTAAGTCAGGAGTGTAGCTCAAAAGATTATACAAATTATATATTTTTGAAAGTTAATGAAAAAAAACTGATGCCTAATAAAACTGATAAGGCAAAAAAAAAAAAAAAAATCAAGTAAACAATATTTAATCAATTACACATTTAGAGAATTTAAGTGCAATTTGGAGGCAAAGACACGATGTGAATTTCTAGATCATTGCACCAGTTAAATTAATGAACATTAATGTGACTTGGATGATTTCCTGAGATTATGAAAACAGGTTGTGCAACAACTTTCAGTTTGAAATCAATTCTTTAAATACAATCTTTAAAAGATTGTATTCAATTTTATTGCCCACCATATTCAATTTTTTGAATAAAAAGTGCCATTGGCAGTTCCAGAAGCATATGCAAGATCTTCTATCCCAGTGAATTTTTTTTTCAAAATAATATTTTTTCAAAATAACAGAGTTAACAAGGTTTTTAACAGTCATTAGCTATAAAGTAATAGCAGGTGTTTTCTTTAGTTCTTGATGAATTAATTTTATTATCTGTTTAAACAGCTTTCCTTAAAAGAATTCTCTTCATTTTCAGTTTAAGTTCAAATTTATGACTCATTGACATTGTAAAAAACACAATACTGCAAAAAAAAACAAATCTTACTTTAAATGCAATGGTTTTATTAAGCTTTTTTTTGAAGGTATCTGAATGAATTTTTTTTTTAAAAAAAAGTCTTTTTTTAAATTTCAAATAGAAATAAAGTTATTTGAAATTCTGATGAAACTTTCAGACCACATTCTAATGAAGTTTTTTTCATACCATTTTAAATTGCTAATTGCTAATTGCTAGCGCACAAAAAAAGCACACATTAAAAGTTTGTTTTTTATTTGCTATTTAAATTTTTAAAATAATGGCAAAAAAATTGTTTTAGATAAGTTCTAAAGGATATAATAAAAAATAAAAATGGCAAAATAAACCATTTATTTTAATTCTAATCAAATAACAAAATTAATAATATTAATAAAAGTAGAAAAAGAAACACTTAAATTCTAAATAAAATAATTATAATAAAAATGGCAAAAAAAAAAGTTTTTTTTAACTTCTATTTATTTAAATTTTTATAAAAGTAATTCAAAAAAAAAAAAAAATCAAAAAAAAAAAACATTTAAGTTTTGAATAAAATAGTTAATATAAAAGTGGAAAATATAAAAAAGGAATGTTTTATTTAGATTCTTTATAAAATAAAATTTGTACATAAAAGTGTTATCAAGTATTTTTTAAGTATTTAATGAACAAAAAAGTTTGTTGCAATTTAAAAAAGCACTTATTCATTTTGCAAGTGTTTTTTTAAGCAGTTGCCAAAGTTTTTTTCTAGCAAGCGCAAAAAGATTTAAGCGCAAAAGTGCTGGCTAAATGGAGTAGACTGCATTTGAATATTAATTGGAGTAGACAACATTTGAACATTAAATGGAATAGACTGCGTTTAAACATTATACAATATGAAAAGCTAATAAAATTTGTATAAAAAATACAAGTTACAAAGTATTTGCATTTTTAAAAAGCTTTTATATCATATTAAAGTTGTATAATTAATATACTTAATTGAGAATTGTTATTAAGTCTATAAATGATGTCATAAAGACATAAGTAGGGTAACATGTTACAGCATTTGGTTGCCAGCAGTATGATATTGTTAACTTTTATCTAATGAACGATATCTGAATAAAGTATAATATTGTTGTGTGTGTATATATATATATATATATATATATATATATATATGTATATATATATATATATATATATATATATATATATATATATATATATATATATATATATATATATATATATCAAGGCAGCACTCGAAATAGCTGCCAATCACCGATCAAAGATTGTCTACTTTTGGAAAAATTGACACTTTGATTGTCTAAAATTAAATCTGGCCAATCAAATTTGATCGGCAGAAGCCGATCAAATTTGATCGGCCAGATTGCTAGTCAAACTTTTGTAATAAATAATACACAAGCATTTTAAATACAAAAAGTTAAAATTTAATTAGCATCAAAATTATTTTGAAATGAATTATATTCTAAATAAAATAATGTAGGTAAAAACGGCAAAACAAACAACTTATTTAAATTCTGAATAAAATAATTTTAAAAAAGCGGCAAAGTTTTATTATAGTTCTAAATGAAATGAAACCGGCTAAACAAACCATTTGTTTATTTTCTATAATAAAAAAAAAACGGCACATTGAAAATTAATTTATATTTTAAATAAAATAATTAGGATAAAAATGGAAAAACAAACATTATATTTATACTCTAATTAAAATATGTATAAAAAAATGGTAAAATTTAATAAAAAATTGATCGTTTCAAAAGTTATTTGATTGTCTGGTTTTTAATTTTTTTTATTTCAGCTGATCAATGTTGATCGGCAATCTTTTATTTTGAGGGCTGTCAAGGCCTATTCTAGAAAAAAAAAATTAATTTGGGTGGCGTCCAAATCAGCGCCCAAATACGGTCAGCGCTATCAAAAACGGTCTAGAATAGCCCCTGTATATATATATATATATATATATATATATATATATATATATATATATATATATATATATATATATATATATATATATATATATATATATATATATATATATATATATATATATATATATATATATGTATATATATATATATATATATATATATATATATATATATATATATATATATATATATATATATATATATATATATATATATATATATATATATATATATATGTATATATATATATATATATATATATATATATATATATATATATATATATATATATATATATATATATATATATATATATATATATACTCTTACTAAAGCATATTTTTATAAGCATTTGTTCACTTTTTTTGCTTACCTTAATCCATACGGGTTTTTTAGAAAAAGAAGAAAAAAAACGAAGAATGATAAATGAAACGATTGCTGCCCCATCCCAAACCCTCAGTCGATGTAGCAGCACTCCACTGTAAGTCAGGCTATTTGTCAGTCGATATATGTACTGAAGCCCCCGGCAGCAGTCTATTTCAGTATGATGTCAGATTGCTCACCTTAGTATGCAATACTATTTGTATATATATATATATATATATATATATATATATATATATATATATATATATATATATATATATATATATATATATATATATATATATATATTACTTTTTCATATATTCCCATCCTCTAGACCAGCAGTTCCCAACCTTTTTGATGCCTCAACCCCTTGATACTATTTGCTAAGTTATGGTGACTGTTACAACAGAATTAAAAAAACTGCTCCTAAATCACTGCATTTTGGCAGCTAATATGTTTTTTGACTTCTGATTTTATTCATAGGCACCATATTTTTGTTACGCATTTTATATATTATTTATTTATATTATTGCTTAGATATGTTCAGGAGAGAGAAAAAAATATTTTCAAAACTTATTTATTCAATACACCCTATAATTATATATACTACACCCTATAATTAGAATTTTCTAAGCACTCTTGTAGTTAAGAACACCACCAAAAAAAAATAAAATAAATAAAACAATAATTATAGTAATAATTAAAATAAATATTACATATCTTTATGTTATGTTTTATTTTAGCAATTAAAAATAGCCAAAAGTGGTGCTGAACATCGCTCTTTCAAGAGAGCTAAGCTTACCAATGAAAAGAAATTTACTTCACCTGTGGTAATATGTTTATCTTTCATGCTTTGAATTGCTTTATATGTTTTATTGTTTGGTTTGTTTTATTTCCCAAAATAAGTGAAGTGTACTAGTTGCATTATCTGGTTTAATTTTCTTGTGAATTCTGTTGATTTGTTTATTTTATTCTTCACTGAAGTGTTTAGTTATATCAAATTTTTTGTTTTATTTCCTGATAAAGTCATGTGCATTGTCTATTTTCTGTTGTATTTTTTTAATGGAGTGAAGTATTTTAATTGTTTATTTAAAGCTTTTTTTGAAAGTTTGAACTTCTTTTAGGATACCTTTGATAAAAAAAGTGAAACTAAAGTTTTCAACAAAGAAATAAAAGCAAGGAATGATTTTAAAAAGTGAGTTGTTTTTTTTATTGGTAAAACTTAAATATTTCTGTTATAATCCATTCAATATTAAACCATATAAAATTACAAAACAAATTTTTTTAATATGTTCACTTCCTAGAGCTAAGTAGAGTTAAGGAGGTTACTTTTTTATTTTTAATTTTGTTACGACTCATTTACCTCTAAAACACCAACCTTGATAGAGAGGTTCAGCATGTCGCTAACAAAGACTTGGAGGTAATTTGTAAGAAAAAAATGGAGTTGAACTCCATTCTTTTTTCTCACAAATCAAGAGTCACCACTACTGTATTTAACTTTTAACTTAAGTTACAACTAAAAACAATAACAGTAGATACATAATATTTTTATCAAATATGTGATATCATACATATTAGAGATGTTATAAAAAACCATCAAGCTTGGGCAAACATGGAAACATATTTGTCAAAACTATGGTGTTGACAATAATAATGAAGTTATTAAAATATTTTTTAAGTTTTTTTAAAAGCTTAAAAATAAAGCATTCTAAAGAGAATAATTTATTAGATGATTTTGGTCCACCATCTGTACAGAATTTTCTGTTATATGATTTCGATCCACCACATGTACATGGTAATACTACATTAAGCTTGTTTGAAAGCGTAAGGTTAATTTTTTTGAGGGTTTATAAGAGTCCTATTATATAAGAACATGATAAAAATATAAACTGATCAATCTAAAACTTGTTACATTACTATTAATAGTATAAAAAGTATATATAGTACGACAAAATTTTTAAAATAAAATGTAAAATAGCATTGTTATGTTAATTAACTATAAATTTTGTGATGTTAGAAGTAAATTTAATTTATCTTTTTTGTAATGAGTTTAAAATTTAAATTTTTGAAATTTTTATGTAATGAAAAAAAAAACTTTTTTTATTGATATTTTGTTTGCAAAATAGATGAGTAATTGTTAGAATTTTGCTTATAGGTTTCTTTTCTTAGTAAATTAAAAAAACTTTTTTTTTTAGCTTTGAAACAAAAAGTAACATCTCAGGTAAAGTTCTTTTTTTTTTTTTTTTACTTTTTTTAAACTTTATTTAACTTATTATGGAACTGGTTGTAGTGACTTCTTTTAGCAACTGGTTGTAGTGGTTTCTTTTAGCTGGTTGCATGCCACTCATATTAGTGACTGCTTTAATGGCAAAATTTGTTTTATTAAATTGTTAATCTTTGATTTATTTTGTATATGGTTGCAATAGTTTGTTTGTACCTTGAAATAGACACAGTTTCTACAATTTTGTATTTGGTTTGGTTGCAGTTCTTTGATTGTACCTGAAGTAGACGCAATTTCTAAAGTTTTAAGAGTTGCATTAAATTTGATAAATTTTTATGATTTGTAAAAACTTGTAAAAACAAAAATAATTTTTTTTAACCTTATTAGAATAAGCATAGCTTTCCAACTTTTGTAGACTCTGTGATTCAGTTTTTCTATTTTATTTTTTTTGTGTTTATAAATCTAGCCTAATTCTTATATGTTCTTCTTATATCAAATTTCTTATATTTTTGATTTAATTTATAAAATTTTTAAATGTTTTATATAGATAAATTTTTAATTTTTGTTGTTATTTGTATCAGTTTAGTTTACTACTTTTGTGGTTTGTTTTTTTCTTTGTGTGTTTAAATTGAACTTATTTCTTTTTCTTTCCATTTGATTGTAGTTATTTTTTGTTTGTAATAGTTTTTATTGTTACCAATGGTATCATACTGTAGTATGGTACATGTGTAAATTGTGTAGTGAATCTGAGGGTAAACTAGTTATTGACGTGCAATCAATGTTCTAGTACATGATTCTGAGCAGAAGTTTGTTAATCACTACTTCGCATTTATATAAAATATTCTTTCTTACACCTCGTATCCTGTTCTATAGCACTGTTTTTTTGTATTTGTTTACTATATATTTTTATTATCTTTGTTTTGTTATGGTGAGGTTTGTTTTATATATTTTTGATGATGAAATTACAAAGTTGTTTTTTAATTATTATTTTAAAGTAGAGATATATACAAGCTAAACACACTGTAAAAAAAAGCATAATAGATTATATTTTATTTGATTATCATTATATCCTAGGGTTGCTGTTTTTTAAAATATATTGAAAATGGTAATAATAGTATATTATTTTCTTGGTTACTATAGTTGCTTCATTAATATTTTAGATGGATTTAGTTGCAACAAAAGTTTTGTAAGTAAAATTCACTATTGTACATTTTGGTTGCAATTTTTTAGTTTTTTAATTTGTTTTGTTTTTTTTGTCACTTTTTAACATTTATTTTAGTTTTCATTTCAACATTTATGTTTTTTCATTCATTATAAATGTTAGAGTTTATGCCATGATAGCTAAATATAAAAGTTGTTTCTGGTAGTTTTCAGGTAGTAGATAAATCCATATATTTAAAGTAATTGTGTTTAAGAATAAATACATATATTTAAAGTAATGGTGTTTAAGAATAAATACATTTTTTAAAGTAATGGTGTTTAAGAATAAATACCTATATTTAAAGTAATTGTGTTCAAGAATAAATACATATATTTAAAGTAAGAGAATTATGTTTTAAGAATAAATACATAAGATATACCTAAAAAGGAATTTTTATGTAATTATTTTTATTTGAGTTTACATTCAACAAATCCTTAGGTTATTTACAGTAGGAGCTGAGGAAGAAATGCAAAGAATGTTAAAATGCAAAAAAAACTTTTTACTGCAAACTTTAAAAGCTGTATATTATCTGTATATATAAATCTGGTAAATATCACAAGCGGTAAAATTTCAAATTAATGATGAACTTTAAAAAGATACAAAAAAATTTGGTAGCGCAGATGTTCAGCAAGTGAACTAAGGGATGGAACATTCATTAAGAATCATTATTTACAAGATGATGAATTAATAATGAAAAGCTATTTAAATAAGAATTCATAATGAAAACAGCTTGTTAGCTAATACCTAATAGTTTCATTTGAGTTAAAATACTTAAGACACAAAATGCCACAGTCACAACCACAGACAGTCACACAAATTTGGATTCCCTAAGCGCAACAGTTTTAAAGAATCGAAAATTTTTAATAGAGACTGTAATATTGTTGTGTCATTAGAAAATAAAACCATTTTATTAATTAAAGCTTGCCTGGCTGAATCCAAGTTGCAACATAATATTAGATAATGTTTGCTGCAGCAACAATATACATTGATGTTGAGCATACATAGATGATGCAGATGATACAGAGCATTATAAGATGATACATTGATGCAGAGCCTACAAAGATCATATAACAGCCATTGTTTTGATTAGTCAAGCCTTAAATCAGTTTAATGACTTTGAGCGAACAACATTAATTGGCAAAGCGCTCCAGTTTAATTATTCTGCTATTAAAAAGGTTGTTTCTTCAAGACATAAAAAACACATTTATCAGAAAAGAGGAAATAAAAGACATCAATCCAATAACCATATTGAAAAGAATTAGAGATAGAGTCCCAGTTAACCTCAAAATACATGAAGCTTGTTGTATTGAATATTTTTTACTTTAATTGTTTTATGATTAATGTTTTATAATTAAATGATTAACTGTTATTTTATAACTTATTTTTATTCAAATGTAAAATAGCTAGAAAATAAATAATTTAACCAAATAAATCCTATTTAAATTGAATTAAAAAAATTATATTTGTTGTAATGTTTTATTTATTTTTATTGTTATAAATTTATTATAGACATAAATTCATTGAATAAATAAAGAAAAAGTAAAAAAAGTAAAGTTTTTACAAAAGTAAAAAAAAAAAATTAAATAAAACAATTAATACAAGCTTAACTAATATGTTGTTGTGCATTCTAGGTAATACTGTAAATTAAAAGTTTGAATTGCGTGGAATAATGTCAAGTATAGGTAAACTAAGTTCAGAAAAGATAGTAAAAAAAATCAAAAATATTAATGTTATCACAATGTTATAACCTAAAAAATTTTTTTACGCTTTTTGTATTTAATTCAATTTAATTGATTTTAATTTTAAAAAATATACATTGTTCAATTATTATTATTTTTTTAATCATTTCAAAATAGTTGTCTTGGTAAAAAGACAAATTACAAAAGTTTTATCATTTTTTTTCAAACTGAAGATTTTCAAACTAAATATTTATTTTTTTAAATATATTTTTTTAAATAAGATAAAAATTAATTGCCTAGATTTTGTTGAAATGTTTATTGATTTGATGTAATTGATTCTCATATTTTTACAACACTGTTTATTTTTGTAAAGCGTAAACTGTTTTTTTTTTGTAACACAAACACTGTTAATTAACACATACACTGTTTATTTCTGTAACATATACACAGTTTGTTTCTGTAACACATATACCGTTTTTTTCTGTAACATATACACAATTTGTTTCTGTAACACATATACTGTTTTTTTCTGTAACATATACACAGTTTGTTTCTGTAACACATATACTGTTTGTTTCTGTAACACATACACTGTTTATTTTTGAAACACATACACTGTTTGTTTCTGTAACACATATACTGTTTTTTCTGTAACATATACATGTACATGTTTATTTTAGTATGGATCTCTCTTAGTTTACTTTTCTTTGGTTAAAATTAAATTATGTTTTAAATGGTCTACAGTTTAATTTTTTAAATGGTCTACATTTTATTTTTTCAAATGGTCTGCAGTTTAATTTTATAAGTTTAACAAATAAACAGTAAACAGAATAACAAATGGTCTGCAGTTTAATTTTATAAGTTTAACAAATAAAAAGTAAAAAGAATAACAAATGGTCTGCAGTTTAATTTTATAAGTTTAACAAATAATCAGTAAACAGAATAACAAATGGTCTGCAGATTAATTTTATAAGTTTAACAAATAAAAAGTAAAAAGAATAAAAAATGGTCTTTAATTTTATAAGTTTAACAAATAATCAGTAAACAGAATAACAAATGGTCTGCAGTTTAATTTTTTAAAATTGAACTTGAATTTTTTAAATCCTTAAATTAAGAAAGTAAAAGTGTAAGAAATTTTAAAATTCTACTTTGTGTTTGCATTTTTATTTTTAAAAATTGACATTTTATGGTATGTTTATAAAATCAAATGTTTTGGATAGCATATTAATAAAAAATGTATATTATAAACTATTTTTTTATTAGGTAAACAGAGTATTGCGTGTTGCAGGATTTAATTTGACAAAAAATATACTTGATACTGCATTTCCACCTTTTGGTATGTTTTAAAAGTTATACTTTTACGAATTGTGCTCGATGTCTTATTTCATTTTATAGTTATGGGTTATTTAAAATATATTTCAGTTTTGTTCACATGAGTTTTAGAGTTATAACTTTTTATAACTCTAAAGAAAATCCTTGTAGTATAGAAGTTATTGTTTTATTTGAAATTATTGACACATTATATATTTATACATTTATTTTAGTTAAAATATTTCATTTGTTTAGGTCAAATAAAAAGCATTTACTTTGAGAAAGAAAAAGGGTAAGTGGTAAATTTATTCATTTATTTACTGATATGTGCCTGCATAGTATGCTAAAAATGAGACTTTTTGCAAATCCAGCCCCGGTAAAATTATAAGATTTAGCAGGGTTTGATAGCCAGGGATAGAAATAAATTTATAATTCTTTATATAATATAATTTTTTACTTACATTTACTATTTATTAAATTCTGGCATATATTTATGCTAGTATTTAATAAAAAGGGACAGATACAGTAAAAGGATGCATAAGAAGCCAATCAAGAATGAGTTTTGGTTTATTGTAATAGAGATAATAGCTCGTTTGAGCATTGACCATGATTAGAGAAACAGCATAAAAGAGGAAGGCTAAAGCCTGATGATGTCATCATCAGCAGATAATGATGATGATAATGATGATGATTACGACAATAATGATGATAACGATGGTGATGACGATGATGATGATGATGATGATGATGATGATGATGATGATGATGATGATGATGATGATAATGATGATGATGATAATGATGATGATAACAATGATGATGCCAATTAAGATGATGATGATGTTGATCATAATGATATTTATAAATGCATATATACAAAATCAAACATAAATTTTAAAGAAAAAAAATGTACTTTAGAATGTATTGTTTATGCCGCCCCGGTACCAAACCCGGCCCTGACTATATTTTATATGTATATATATATATATATATATATATGTGTGTATATATATATATATATATATATATATATATATATATATATATATATATATATATATGCATATATATATATATATATATATCTATATATATATATATATATATATCTATATATATATATATATCTATATATATATATATATATATCTATATATATATATATATATATATATATATATATATATATATATATATATATATATATATATATATATATATATATATATATATATATATATATATATATATATATATCTATATATATATATATATATATATATATATATATATATATATATATATATATATATATATATATATATATATATATATATATATATATATATATATATATATATATATATATATATATAGATATATATATATATATATATATATATATATATATATATATATGATATATATATATATATATAGATATATATATATATATATATATGCATATATATATATATATATATATATATATATATATATATATATATATATATATATATATATATATAGATATATATATATATATGTATATATACATATATATTTATTATATATTTTTGTTTTAGCGTTATTACTTATACAAGAATTATTGTATTTTATGTTATAAAAACAAAGTTTTCGATAGAAAACTTTGTTTATATAACATAAAAAAAATAACTTTATCATTATTTAGTTGTATTATTAATATATATAATTATTTTAATAACTATTAATTTAAAGATTGATAGATTATAAATATTTGTATCTTCGCTCACAAAAAAAAATGTGTGCTATATGGAACACCCTGAGCCATAGAGAAGTGATGAAAGTTTATTTATAAAGTACAAGCGTTATTACAAGAGGAAGTGTTTATTTGCGTTAAAAAAATAACGGTACAACAAGTTTTTTTTTTCACATGCCCCTAGAAGTCCTTACGGCCTTATCAACTTGAAGTTCAAATTGAATTTATACAATTTTTAAGATTTTATATTCTATGTAAAATCTTTAAAAAAAAAAGATGCTATAATTACAACAAATATGGACTTTACAACTATGTTCTTTAAAAAAAAAAGTGGTTGCTAAAGTTTATAATGTTAAATATAATGTTCAATGTATTTGCAGTCCCTAAAATGAATGAATCCGGAATACTTTTAAATAGAAATAAAATGCTTTATTTATTTATTTGTATATATATAGAAAAAATTTTCAACTGTTTTTTAAATATCTGTAGAACATACAATAAGAGCAATTTTATAAAAACTCACACAAATTATTTATATTTAAAAACGTTACAACTTATGTCAGTGGCGGGTTAAGACTTCATGGAGCCCAGGGCTATTTTTGTTTTTGGAGACCTTTTTATGGGCTAAAGCCTAAAAACAATTTAAAAAAAAGAAGGTTCTCTAAATTTTTTAGGGGCCCCTAAATTTGCAGGGCCCGGGGCTATAGCCCCCCTCCCTTCTCTCCTTGATCCGGCACTGACTTATGTTTATGAAAAAACAATTAATCGTTCCAATTTAACAAAAATTTTATCAGTATAAATATTTTCCCATAATTGAAAATTGAACAATTATTTCTCATAATAATCATTAGCTAATTTAAATAATTTTATATATATAACGACTGATATAATAAGGGATTTAAGTGACGTAACGATCAGTTATTTTTTCCAATATCGATTTTGTTTTGAGGCAAAAGTTACAAACGGTTACAGTTGTTTTAAAAAAAAATTAAGGATAAAAAAAGAGCGCTGATTTAAATGCAAATGTTTTTTATATGAGTGGACTATTTGATAAATATAAAATTATTACACTTTAAATTATATTAATAAAATATAAAATTTTTCAACTGATAAAAATTTATTGCATAATAACTTTTATATTTAACTTTAATTTTTTTACTTTAATATAGTATTCGCTTTTATTGTGGAATTTTTAATTGTTGTAATAGTTCTTTAAATGCCTGGGTTCTATTACAATAAGAAAATATAAAAGAAATTTCCATAAACAGTAAAAACTTTTATAGCTCTTTGTCTAATTTTTTATCAAATAAGTAATGTTAACAAATAAATGGATAGCTAGTGTGAAAACCCAAAGGCAATGCTTGTATATAGAAATATTTCACGGTGCAATAAATCACACTTGTTATGTATATATTCTTGTAACATTAGCATTACAAACATATGCTTGCAACAAGTATAAAAACAAATTTTGTATTTAATAAGCAATTTTTTTAATGAAACATCTTTAAGATTATTGAATCCTTCCTTTCCAATTGTAGTATAAAAGTTGTCATTGCTGGACAGCACTCTTCTTATTCTGTAACCTCAGGGGTTCCTCAAGGTTCAATCCTTGGCCCTATAATCTTTTTAATTTACATTAACGATCCTCCAGATATTCTCACATCTAAGGTGGCATTGTTCGCTGATGATACTACCATTTATTCTTGTCATGATAAGAAGCCAACCTTCTCTGATTGCTTAGAGGGGCATTTGAGCTTTAAAAGGATCTCGCTTCTGCTACAGCATGGGTCTTACAGTGGCTGGTGAACTTAAATACAGATAAAACTCAATTTTTTTTAGCCAACCATTATCGCAATGATTTAGACCTTCTTATATTTATGAACTGTGATGTGGGTCATCTACCCTTCATCTTCTAGGATTGGCTCTTACTTCCGATTTTTTTTTGGAAACCATATACTAAGTCTGTTGCAAAATTAGCATCTGCTAAAGCTGCATCTCTTTATTGAGCTCAACACTTTCTTAATCTGGATTCTATTCTCTATCTCTATAAATCTCAAATCCGGCCTTGTATGGAATACTGTTGCCATATCTGGGGCGAATCTTCTAATGATGCCCTTTCTCTTTTAGACAAGGTGCAAAAATGTATTGTAAACATAGTTGGGCCTGCTCTTGCAGCCAACCTTCAACTATTATCACATCAAGCCTTCCCAGGAAAGGCGTGCGGTTTTTCGTCTTGTATGATCACGCGTGAGTATTTTATTTTAGACAATTTGGTCATGGTCGTTTATATGCGTTGCTGACAAAAGTTTTAAAAACAAAATAACTAATTAGGAATTTAAAATAAACTTAAATATAAAATAATAATAACAATAATTTAAATAATTTGTGTGCTGTTTTTATTTTTATTTCTTCATAGTGGTTATTATTTTCAGCAACAAAATTCGATAAGTCAAAGCAAAAAAAGTTTTTAACATTAAAAAGAATGATTTTCCTATATATATATATATATTTTTTTTTTTTAAAGAGGAAAGCGAAAATATAAGTTGTCATCTGTTTGTAAAATATATTTGTATAATTTTAATGTAACAAGTATATATCAAGGGGTGAATCTAGCAATTGCGATTTGCAAACCCTGGAAAAATATCTGAACTTTAAAATTTTAGTTTATGCAAAGCTGTGTACTTTGTTTTCAAGAAGCAAATTATTATAACTTTGTTAGAGAGAAAAATATAAAAACAAAACAAGCAATAAACTTACGACTACAAAAGTAATAATACTCTTGTCACTAACTGCATTATAAAAGTAATAAAACTATAATAGTGTTATTACTTTTATAAAGCACTTATTACTTTTAAAGTTCATTCTTTCTTCAAACAACATCAGTAATTGTATATTAGGGTGTCCCAAAAAACAACATTTTTGAAAATGGAACGCTGGATCTTCTTGACTCAATGCGTGGGTATTGCTTGTGTCTCTATTTTTATGACTGGGCAACTCATTCTATTATCTCCTTATGAGGGTACAGCTCTAAAACTCAGTTTTATGGTTCTGAGGCCGGCTGGTAGTCAGGTTTCCCGAACTCTGTGGTAGCTCTCAGAGAGGCTGATTCCATCAACAGCCGAAAAATATCAGAGTACTAACAGTGCCATGTTGCGCATGGATGGTGTCCCTGTTTGTACTTTTGGTGTGCATTGCAGAGGCCACATTTAGAGCCCTTTGTTACGGCTTAGGGTTTATTAATAGTAATGAGGCTATTGCTTAGTTGTTAAATAGTGTACTGAGTACTATCTATACTTGAGTCAAGTTCTTTATAAATTTAAAATGACTAAAGTACTAAAAAACACAAAAAACCATCGTCATCACCAAGTTCTCTAAACCTATCATTTACTAATATTCGTGGTCTTCGAAGTAACTTTTCTTCTGTTGAGTCTTATCTCTTGCAAAGTTCACCAGACCTACTTGCTCTTTGTGAGACTAATTTGAGTTCGGCTGTCCCATCTTGTGATCTTAGTGTTGATGGTTATCTTCCTTTAATTCGTAAAGACTCCAATAATCACATGCTTGGCCTGGGCATCTACATTCGTAAGAACTCACCCATTTGTCGTGAAACTAGGTTTGAATCTACAGACTATTCATTTATGTGCTTTCGTTTAGCACAACTTCACTCTATCGCCTTTCTCTTTGTTCTATATCGCTCTCCTTCATCCCAAGATTGCACTATTCTTGATGTTATTTCTGATCAAATTGACCAAGCCCTCTCTCTTTATCCATCAACCAATATCGTCGTTGTTGGTGACTTTAATGCCCATCACACCGATTGGCTTGGCTCTAGTGTCAGTGACTCTGCTGGCGTTAAGGCCCTCAACTTTTGCCTTTCTCAATCTCTAACTCAAATAGTCAACTTTTCAACTCGTTTTCCAGACAACCCTAATCATTTACCTTCTCTACTCGACTTATGTCTTGTTTTGGATCCTAGTCAGTGCTCAATTTCTCCACATTCACCCTTAGGTACTTCTGATCACGGTTTGATCTCTCTAAAACTATTATCAAATTCTTCTACTTCATCAGAATCCCCCTATCATCGTACCACATACAACTACCTTAAAGCTGACTGGGACTCTTTCCGTGATTTTCTTTGTGATGGCCCTTGGGTAGAAATCTTTTGTCTTCCTGCTGACAAATGTGCTTCTTACATAACTTCGTGGATTCAGGCTGGCATGGAATCTTTTATTCCCTCTCGACAATTCCAGGTCAAGCCTCACTCTTCTCCTTGGTTTTCCTCACATTGCGCTGCAGCAATTTCTAATCGAAACCGTTACTTCCATATCTATCAGCAAAACAATTCTCCAGAAAACAGACATCTGTTCACTATCGCCAGAAACCATTGTAAAAAGGTTTTGTCTGACGCCAAAGCTCGCTATTCCCAGGTCATTAAATCTCGTATCTCATCACAAAAATTAGGTTCTCGTGACTTCTGGAGAATCTTTAACAGTATCAATAATAAGGGCAAATCTGTTATTCCTTCTCTCTTGTATGGTTCAGACTTTGTCACCTCACCTAAAGACAAAGCTGAATTGCTTGCTAAGAACTTTTCATCAATATCATCTCTTGATTCCACTAGTTGCGTTTTACCTGACATAGCCGTCAAACAGGTTGATCCCTTGCTTGACATTCGCATCACTTCAGCTTCTGTATCTAAAGTAATTTCCTGCTTAGACTCTTCAACAGCTTGTGGTCCTGACAACATTCCTGTTGTAGTCTTGCAGAGGTGTTCTCCGGAGCTTTCATCCATACTTTCTAAACTATTTAACAAGTGCTTATCAGAGTCTTGTTTTCCATCATGCTGGAAAGCAGCATCTGTTATCCCTATTTTCAAAAATTCCGGAGAGCGATCTGATTCATCTAACTACCGTCCCATTAGTCTTCTTCCTGTCATAAGCAAGGTTTTTGAATCTTTAATCAACAAACACTTAATCTCTCATCTTGAATCAAATAACTTACTCTCTGATCATCAATATGGATTTCGATCTTCTCGTTCTACAGCTGATGTGCTAACAGTAATAACCGATAGGTTTTACCGTGCATTAGATAGAGGTGGAGAGGTTAAGGCTATCTCACTTGACATTTCTAAAGCTTTTGATAAAGTTTGGCATGCTGGTCTTCTCCATAAGCTTTCTTCTTATGGTGTAGCTGGTAACATCTTTAAGATTATTGAGTCCTTTCTTTCCAATCGTAGTATAAAAGTTGTCCTCGATAGACAACACTCTTCTTCACATCCTGTAACTTCAGGGGTTCCTCAAGGTTCAATCCTTGGCCCTATACTCTTTTTAATTTACATTAACGATCTTCCAGATATTCTTACATCTAAGGTGGCATTATTCGCTGACGACACTACCATTTACTCTTGTCATGATAAGAAGCCTACACTCTCTGATTGCTTCAAAAGGATCTCACTTCTGCTACAGCATGGGGCTCACAGTGGCTGGTGAACTTTAATTCAGATAAAACTCAATTTTATTCGGCCAATCGTTATCGTAATAATTTAGATCTTCCTATATTTATGAATGGTAATGTACCAGATGAGTCATCTACCATTCATCTTCTAGGATTAACTCTTACTTCTGATCGTTCTTTTAAACCGTATATCAAATCCATTGCAAAATTAGCATCTGCTAAGGTTGCATCTCTTTATCGAGCTCGACACTTTCTTACTCCAGATTCTATTCTCTATCTCCATAAATCTCAAATCCGTCCCTGTATGGAATACTGTTGCCACATCTGGGGCGGATCTTCTAACGATGCTCTTTCTCTTTTAGACAAGGTGCAAAAACGAATTGTAAACATAGTTGGACCTGCTCTGGCAGCCAATCTCCAACCTTTGTCACATTGTCGTAATGTTGCTTCTCTTTCTCTTTTCTACAAATACTATAATGGGCACTGCTCTAAAGAGCTAGCGTCCCTTGTGCCATCTACTAAAATTCATTCTCGTGTTACTCGCCATTCAATTAAGTCTCATCCTTTTTCTGTGACTGTTCCTAAGTGCTTTAAAAACTCTTATTCTTCTAGTTTTTTTCCTCGAACATCAGTTCTTTGGAATTCGCTTCCTTCATCTTGCTTTCCTGATTCATATAATTTGCAATCTTTTAAGTCATCAGTCAATCGTTATCTTGCTCTACAGATTTAGTCTTTTCTCTTCCAGTAACTTCCAACTCTTATAGTGGTTGCTTGCAGCCTTGTTGGAAGTGAAGATGTTTAAAAAAAAAAAAAATAATAATCTGCTTTATCTAATAAAAATGTGTTCTATCTAATACAAAAACACTAGGTTTAAATTTTTTTTGAATAAAAAATATTTTAAGGGGTCCCTCAAGACCCTCGAATATTTAATGGGTCCCCAATATTTTCGAAAAAAAAGTTTTTCAAAAATGTGTCAACCTGGTACTCAAATGAAGCGAAATTATATAAATATTTCAAAAATAATATTCATTTTGAAATATTTTTAACTTATTTATCAAAATTATCATAAAAAAACATAAGTAATGCATTTTTTTCATTTTTTCTTAAAAAATGCAATTTTTTATGTAATAAAACCAAAAACAACAATTTTGTCTCGAAATGAATATTATTTTTAAAATTTTTATATAATTTCGCTTCATTTGAGTACCAGGTTGACATATTTTTGAAAAACTTTTTTTTCGAAAATATTAGAGACCCATTAAATATTCGAGGGTCTTGAGGGACCCCTTAAAATTTTTTTTATTCAAAAAAAATTTAAACCTAGTGTTTTTGCATTAGATAGAACACATTTAGGGGGTGAGAGCAGATTATTTTCAAAAATGTTGTTTTTTGGGACACCCTAATGTATATATATATATATATATATATATATATATATATATATATATATATATATATATATATATATATATATATATATATATATATTATATATATATATATATATATATATATATATATATATATATATATATATATATATATATATATATATATATATATATATATATATATATATATATATATATATATGCATATGAGTTTAATGTATTATGTTAGGTATAACACAGCTCTTTGTCAGTTAAGAGTGATCAATATTTATAAAACAGATCAAAATGTATCAAATTTTATATGTAGAAAATATCACCTTTTTATGGTACTTTAAGATTCATGTCATTTGACAATTGTTCAGCCAAATTATTTAAAATTATTATAATAAAAACTGTTATAAAAATACAAATTTGCGTTGCAATGAGATCAAACTTTGGTGTTCACGTCAAACAGGTATTTATTTAACTGGTATTGAAATGTGATAGTAGAAAGTTTTTTTTTTAATGTTTTTAAATAATATGGTTGAATGATTGGCGAATAGCATAAAACTTTAAGTATCACTAAAAAGTCTAAATATATATATATATATAAATATATATAAATATATATATGTATATATGTGTATATATATATATATATATATATATATATATATATATATATATATATATATATATATATATATATATATATATATATATATATATAATTATATATTAATTTACATTTTTTCTATTTTCTTTATGATTTCATTTTTTTATTACAATATTTTTGAAGTAATATATGGTCAATATATTTTAGGTGTGGTTATGTTACTTATGAAACTTGTGAAATGGCAGAAAGAGCAAAAGAAGAGGTATAAAGAAGCATTTCAATCTTTTTCTTCTATATTTAACTTTTAGATATCTTCAGCTTTTTAACTATGAGATCAGTAAAAAAGTTTCTGTAAATTGATTTAAAGTTAATTTAGGAATCTTGTCATCTCAGTCGGGTTTGAAATTTAAGATCGTGTCAAATTACAAATCTAGTTAGTAAAATGAAAATGACTCGTCACACTAAAAAATTAAAAAGTTCATTTGAAAAAAAAAGTTTCCACATTATATTGATATATCACTAATGACGTATTATCATATAATGATGATATGACATCATTATATGATAATACATCATTAGTGATATATCAGTATAACATCACTAGTGATGTCATACTGATACATAGATTATCAACACGTGTTAAAGAATCTATATTAAAAAAATATATATTTTTTTACTTTTTTTTTTTTTTCTTATAATTAAGATGGTTAATGTTCGGAGAAACAAAAGCAAAGAAAAAAAATTTAAAAAAATTATTAAAAAAGTAATTTTTTCAGTTATATATCTTTTATATTATTTACAAATTTTTTTCAAGAAGATGTTATAAAAATAATTGTAGTAAAAACATTGATCTAGACTAAAATATACATCATGATTAGAGTACTCAACTGTATTACATTTATCATGGTATTCAACTGTATTTTAAATTGTCTCGAATAAAAGATACAATCATTAGAAAAATAAAATCAATTATGTACCTAAACTTTTTTATTTGTTTATTTAAACAGGGTACCAGCGATGTTGACAAATTTTTTGAAATTATTTTATATTTTTTTATACTAAATATTATGAGGTATAATAATGAATAAAACCTTTTTCATTTTTTTCTTTTTCTTCTTTTTTTCTCCTGAAGGTTAAAAAGTTCGAAAAAAAAAAAATGAACACAACATTAGATACCCAAACTCATGTTTGATCATGTTTGAGTAAAAGCTGCTCAATAATTTGAATGCAGCCTTGATTAATTGTTTATTAAAAGCAAAAATAAATATCAGTTGCCATAAAATTAAAAAAACATATGAAAAATGATAAACAGCAAGAACAGCAAAAAAAAAAAAGGTTGGAAGGAATAAAAAAATACAAAAGAATTTGCCAAAAATGTGATTGTCTGTATTAAATTTTTTTGGCTCATGACACAATGACAATAATATTTTTTACTGAAGCAATATTTAACAAACTGCTGCTCAGTTAAAATAAAGAAAAACTGTAAAATTTAACCAAAAAATGCTTGTCTGGTTGTACATTTTTTAATTAAAAGGTGTCAAAGCCATACTTTGTCCCTAGCAGTTTTGCAGTTAACAAAAATCTTTACTTAAAGCATTACATCAAAGAAACAACTAGTACCTTTTATCAAAGTATATCTGACCACTACTTATTTTAGCCTGATATGGCTTCATCACATTATGCCAAATAAGTGATGTTGTCTTTAATAAGAATTTCATAAATTATTTGTGTAAATATCTCAGAAGAATTTTCAGAGTTTTTTAAATGAAATGGTTTTTGTAAAAAACTAGCAAAAAATCTGAAAGTGAATAAAGATAAATAGCTGCTTTAAGAAAGTTGACAAGAATCTCATAAAAGATTTTGTAACTGCATTCTGAAGTTACAAAATCAGTAATTATAGACTGATAAAAAAGAATTTAGTATTGAGAAGAAGAATACTTGTATACAAATATATTTCTGTTTAATTTTGTAGCTTAAAAACCTATGCAGTAAAAAACAATTTATAATTTTCATGGATTTTTTATGAAACACCTGTTACAGCAAAAACCCACTGCTAGTGGAAAAAACGATAATTGCTATATTTACAACAATTTTTTTTTGAGAGAGTAGTGAGATCTGTTTCATGGACAAGTGGCGTTAGTGCAGGTCTTGGGCTCCTCAAAATGTTATTTGTGATCGCAGTGCATTCCTAAAAAGGGGAATCACCATGCATCCACTACCTAATTCCAATCGGTCATTATGGCACCAACATATTTTATTTATTACATCCATGATTTTTTTAGGTGATATTATATATTGGTAATAATAACGATATTTATATATCCTGCTGTGATGCAGGTGGTAATCAGTTTTTATTGTGTAACCATGTGTTATATTACAGTTATGAACTACATTTTTTACACAAGCCAACACTATAGCATAGCTGCATCAGAAGCATAAGATTCAGTACTTGAACCATGTAGGCGACGTAGTTTTTATTTCTATTTTAACTTAACTATCATACTAAAAAAACTCAACTCTTTTTCTCATAGGAATATAGCATTTTTTTCTGTGAAAATAATAATTTCAAAAAAAGATCAAAATATCTTTATAAAATTTTTGAAAATTATCATTTTTGAAGCTGTTGTTAAAAAAACTTTTTTGGCTATTGCATAAACACAATAGCCAAATTTATCTCAGTTAATTCAGAGAAAAAATTTTTATAAAAATCTCAGATGAAATTATAAAATTTTTTTTGCTTTGTTTTGTTTTGTTGTTTTTTTACTTCCTTTTTTTTAAAAAAAAGAAACTTTTTTTATTTTCAGTTGCATGGTACAATGGTACAAAATGTTACTATTCGGGTAGATTATGCTCGAAAAAGACCTTATGATGATAACAGAAATACTTGGCGACCTAAAAGATCGGATCTTGGTAAATTTAATTTACACTTATATTGAATAAATTATAAATATGCTATTAGTTTACTATAAAGTTAAAATTGATAAATAGTGTGTAAAAGGAGAAGAGAGCCAAAAATGTCACTTTTCAGCAGAAGCAATATAAAATTGGTTCAGTTGCAATTTTTTTTAAAAAGTACAGTTTCAAGCCTTGTAAAATAAATTGAGTCCTCATTTTTTGAAGGGATATTTTAAATTAATCTTTTTTTCCTTGATACTTAATAATATTATTAGTGGAATTCCGTGTATAACTCATTTTCAACATTTTTTGACTCATCTCCCCTTTCCTTTTGCACACTTTTGTACAAATATATATATACAAAATATATGTAAATATAATATAGGGCTATTCATCGTTGTACAAAAGTTTAATATAAATTTCAAATCCTAGAAAATAAAAAACTAAATCTATCATTCAAAAGTTAAAGGTTTGCAGTTTCTAAAAACATGTAACTAAAAACATGTAGAACTGGTTTTCGAAGAATTTTAGGATTTGATGCTTAAACTTTAAACAAAATATTTTAGACTTCAAATTTAAATTATTTTTCTAGTAAATCATTTTGAAACCTTTTTTTTTTTTTTTTTGAAATTTTTTAAAATTTCTATGTAGATTTGTCTCAGGCAAAATATAGATGAGGAACTTCCTTTTTAAATTGAACAATTAAGTAGTCTTTTATTGAGAAATTTCTACTCTATAATTTCTTCTTTAAGTTTGTCACGCTGTGACATGTCACGCCGTGACACTAATAGTAACATTTTTCATTCAAACGTTAGAATATTTATTTATTTTAAATAAATATTTATAAATTACTTGTGACTAAAATATGGCAATAAATATCAATAGATATTTAAATTTAAATATTTTTAGTTTTTGTATTATGTGTCTTAAGTTTATGTCACGTTGTGATGACACGGCGTGACATTTTTTAAAATTAAAGATTAATTAAGACTATTTTTTATAAAAATGTTACGCCAAAAACATGTTGGTTTAACATTTGTAGTATTTTTATTGTTTTTTATTTGTGGATAAGTTTTGAAACCTCTTTTAATATAACTAACATTGTTTTTTTTATTAAACTTGTAGGTGTACCTGTAAATATGTAGACATATTTTACTAACACTTTTGTTATATAATTTTTCTTAAATTTTGTCGCGCCATTGCTGAAGTTATTCTGAATGTTTATTGTTTATACAATTCTTATAAAAAGTACACTTTCACAAATAAATTTTTTATTTCTTCGTTGAAAGTAATGAAAATGCCTCTGACACATGCTGAACGCCAGAGAAAGTATAAAGACAAATGCAAAAATTTGGTCCGGATTTTGTAAAGGAAAAGGACTCGATACAGAAAAAGGAAAAACAAAATTCTAATGTTGAATTAGCACGTTTAAAGGACAAGTTAAGAAAAAAAAAAGTAGAGTTTCTTCATCTAAAATAACATCTAACATCTCTCCTGCTTACAAATCATCTTTTACACTTAGTAAAGCTGTTAAAAAAGCAATACGTGCTTTTCTAACTTCTCTTAAAAAAGCAACAGTTGTTAAACAACTTGCAATTCAGTTTAACAAAGATTTACCAGATATGCAACCAACACATGGACTTAATGCTCTTAATGATGAAACGAAGCTATGCGTCATTAGTTTTTTAGAACAAGATGGTATATCCCTTCAGGTACCTGGAGTAAGAGATATGATTGTTTTAAGAAGTAATAAAGAAAAAAAAAAAGAAAAAAAACGGTGTTTAACAATGAACATAATTGAAGCATATCAAATATTTAAAAACGAACACACTGATTTTTCAATCAGTAAATCCAAGTTTGCTAGTTTGAGACCAGGCCATATACTTTTATCTAGAAACGTTTGTTCATGTTAAAAACATAAAAACATTATCTTGTCACTCAAAGCATTACATTTCATCGATTTAAAAATTCTCTTTCTTTGCATGCTTTACCAAATACTTTAGTGTGTGACAAAAAAATTGATAATTGTTGGAATAATCTTTGCGAAGCTTGTAATAACGGAAAGTTATTTCTCAAAACATACCAATTAGATTAAAAAAACCTGGTACCTTTGGGAGAAAGTTACGCAACTTAATGTAACTAAGTACCTCGAAAAAGCAATAAAAGAAGACAAAGCCATAATTTTGTATAACGTTTGCAAAATGCTACCCAAATTTCTTTTGCATTATTTTATAAAAGGAAAACAATCAATTTATGAAAACCAAAAAAAAATTTTAAAATGCAATCTTGATTCAGTTTTGTTACAAGCTGACTTTGCAGAAAACTTTTCAACTTTCTGATGAAGTTCAGTCAGCACATTGGAACAAAACATTAGTAACATTATTTACTGCTGTTAGCTGGCATGGTAACTCTGCCGTTATTATTTCTAATGATATGAATCATTCAAGAAGTTCAGTTATTTATTTTATTGACTTGTTAATAACTAACCTTATTAGAAAGGATGTAAAATATTTGCAAGTTTGGTCTGATGGTCCTAGCAGTCAATTTAAAAATTGTTACATAGTAGCTTCAATTCCATGGCTTGTAAGCAAGGGTAAAAATAAAATTTGCTGGAATTACTTTGCAACCTATCATGGTAAAGGACCATGCGATGGTATAGGAGCAACCATAAAAAGATTAGCAACACAAAAAATTGTTCGAAGAGAAGCTCTGATTAATGACGCAACAGCATTTTGTAAAGCCGTCAGAGATGAAAGTCAAGTAAACGTTTTCATGGTTGCTGCTGAAAAAATTAAAACTGCTTTTGATGGCACAGAACTTGGAAACATCATTAATAATGCTTGTAAAACACCTGGAATATTTAGTGCCTATTGCTTAAAACAGTTTAATGATAAAATGGAAATGAAACCTTATTCAAGTGCATCATACTTAGTTAACAAGATAAAATTTAATAAAAAAACGTAGTTGAACTTTACAAGACTTTTTTTTGAAATTATTGTAAATAAACTGTTTTGTTAAACGTTATTGTTATACCAATCTTATAAAAATCCGAATAAATTGGTTTCTTTTGTTTCAACTGTTTTTTTGATGATATTATTGTCTTAATATTCAAAGATTTTGTACTGGTCACACCGTGACGTCACGGTGTGACGTAAACTCCGTTGATATATTTATGTGGTGTCTCCATTTAAATTTATAAAACATTTTAAAAATATTATGAAACTATTATAAAACCTTTTAAGCTTTGAATAGCCCTATAGTCTAATAATTATTTGACTTTTTTTATTTACTTATTTTAGTAGAATTAGTAATATTTAATATCTCTATAATTAAATAATCAATTAAAATGAACAATAAATAATTATAATTAGTTTCCCATTAAATATAATACTTTTTCATAAAAATAAATAAATCATTACTTACAACAATTTGTCACTAAATTTGTATTTTATCAATAATATTGATGTGTTTAAATCTTATGATTTTATAGAAACCAATTTAATACATACATACATACATACATACATACATACATACATACATACATACATACATACATACATACATACATACATACATACATACATACATACATACATACATACATGTATACATGCATACATACATACATACATACCATACACATGTATTTATGTATGTATATTTAAATAAAAAGATTTTTATTCATACAGTAAAAAGGTTTTTAACTTAAATATTTATATATCTCTAGATGATCCTCCTCCAATCGCAGCTCCACCACCTGCAGCTATACCACCTTCAGCTCCACCAACTGGTAATTTTCAAAAGAAACCGACTGTATCTCGTTTAACTCAAGCGTCATCGACAAAAAAAAATACCTCTGAATTAAAAAAAGATTGTAAAATTGAATACAACGAGGAGGATTTTTTTTAATTTTAATTTGTTATTTTATCGAACCATTCGCCCGACTAATGTTAAAAGTAAATGCGAGATGTGTTTTATGGAAATATTCTATGCTTTAATTAAGTATAGGTATTTGTAATATATTGTTGTAAATAAACAAGTACGTGTAGTGTGTAAAAACGAAATAATTAGAATAATTAAATAATTATTGAAAATAATTTATTGAACTAACATTGGTTTACCTTTTAAATCGAAAGTTGTTTAACACACGACTAAAAATGATTAAACATTTTCAAATGTTATCTTTCATGTAAATGAATTTTTGAAAAACCGAAATGCATCAGTAAGTTAGCATAAAACAAGTGTTTTGCTTTTTCTTAGGTAATACAAGGAATAATTCATCTTGAATTGATGTCAACACGTTTTTTTAATAAAAAATTCTGATTATTCTGACTACTAATATTTTTTTAAATTTAAAATCTGGTTTTATAAAAAAAATGTGGATTCAACTTATTGAATAATATTAATCTCAACATGGCCTAGTATAATTACACGGATATCTTGCTTTTCGCAGCGAAAAATTAGAAGGGTAACTTTTCAAAACATATAGCATGATTGGCCACACTTACCGCAATTAAAACTAATCTTTATACGGATTTTTGTTTACAGAAGTGTGTATATAATATAAAGTTTGTTTGACAAATATAACTCTCAAAAGACAAATATAAGTCTCAAAAATTAGACATTTTCTTTTGCCTGATGATAATGTTTCTAAAAACTTAAGAATAAGAGAATATTATATTGTACCTTGTTCATCAATATAAAATTGTAATAATTTTATTAATAATAAAATATTTAAATTTGTAATGACTTAATTGATTTAAAGATGTACCTCATATTGTATACACACACATATATATATATATATATAATATATATATATATATATATATATATATATATATATATATATATATTTATTTATATATAAATACTTATATATATTTTATATCTATATTTATATATATATATGTTTATATATATTTATATATATATATATTTATATATATTTTATATATATTTATATATATATATATATATTTATTTATATATATATATATATTTATATATATTTATATATATATATATTTTATATATATTTATATATATATATATATTTATATATATATATATATTTATATATATATATTTATATATATTTTATATATAAATATTTATATATATATGTATATATATTTATATTTATATATATTTTATATATATATATATATATATATATATATATATATATATATATTTCTCATAATAAAATCTCAATAATGTTAACAAGATATATAAAATGATAAACAAAAACCTAACAATAAAAGAAGAGTATACATTAAAAGTTAAATAGTTCAGCTGTATAATTTAGCATTAGCTACTTCAATTTATTTCAGCTTTATTGATTATTAATTTAACTAGTTCAGCTTTAACCTTTTTCTTTGTCTGCATATAAAATCCTTTACGCTGTTTTTTCGAATTTCATCAGAAAAGTGTTTCTGTTCATTGCTAAAATAAATATTTACAACATCGCGATTTACAAATTTTACACCAATAATTTGATGTACATCGCCTAAGAATGAAGAAGCACAATCATTTAATCTAAGCACCCGTTCTGCAGCGTACCGGTCAGAAAGTGTTGTCTCTTATAAGCAAAGTGGCAGTATATAATATTGCGAATGCTTGGGCAACATAATGTGAAAGATCAATAGCTGGTAAAATCAATCCACCACAAGAAAGTTTTTCTAAATATTGACATTGTAGCTCACCAGATTCAGCTAATAGAAAAGTTTTGCAAATACCACATTTGATCTTTTTATTAAACTTTTTAACCACATAACCAGAAATAACTGTAGCAACTTCAAAGCTCTCTGAATCTAAACTGCATTTTTCAATATCTGGTAAAATTTCTTGCAATTTATCATTAAATAATTTAAGTAAAGATATACTACAACTCTCTTTTCTAACATCTTCCTCCCAGATATTGACTGACTCTTTAAGTAAAGTTTTAAAAGCTAATATGCACTCAAATGTTTCAAGTTCACGCAAACCAATTAAAAACCTACCACCACTCATTTGACGATACTTTGAAAATCTTAGTTCTAATGGATCAGTTTGCAAGCGTCATACTAAAAAATAATGATACCCTTCTTGAATTAAATCATCAGTAAGTGAAGCTGTACATCTTAAAGTGGTCCTTAACGCTTCTGGTGTTTGTTTACTTAATGTAAACTTTTGAGAGTCGGAAACTTAAAATAATTGCCAATTCTCAATCCATTCGGCTAATTTCCTCAAAAATAAAGGTTTCATGTCACCCATAACAGCTGCATTTCCGATACAAAAATTGTTGTTATATTTTTGCTTACTGTTACTTATTGCCAACCATATATTTATCAACTTTAAAAAGCTTGAGGCATCAGTCCTATCTGGAAAATAACTTTCAATAGCTGCAGAAGTTGTAGGATCAAATATTGCAAGAGCAAGTGGTACACTTTGTTTATTATCTCCTTGATGAAGTGATTTGTAAGATAATTTGAAACCTTTTTTTAAATTTGATTGAAGTAATTGGTCTTTATCATATACACCATAAAGTAACTTCCATGATATTTCACCAGCATGTACATCAATAACATCATGAAACTGATCAAAATGAAAAGCAGGGAATATAAAACGTTTAGAATTAAGTAAGTTGTTTCGTATGTTTTTGAGAAGATGGACAGCGTCAAATAATAAATATATTATACTATCTTTTTTGTAGGATGAGTAATACTACTAACATGGTTAGTATTTTTATATTTTTGCATCAAATGTGAAAAAGCAGAAACATTAGTAGAATGATTATCAGAAATTACACCACGAACATGAAAACCATTCTCTTGAAGAGATGTAATGCACTCATCAACATGGTCAGCTAGCCATTTACCCTCATTTTTTACTTCTGGTATAGCTTTTATAACAAAATTAAACTTTTTTTTTAAAGTAGCAATCATGAAGGTCATTACACCTTTAAATAAAATTCCCTTATTATCTACTCCTATCATTCTACCACCTTGATATTGCGCTTCTTTCTGCAAGTATATTTCATCCATCAGTAGCACAACATCTTTACCAATTTTATTTTGGTTTAATAAACATTTTATAGATTTTAATGGTTCTACCCCACCTTTACTAATTTTTTTCAAAAGACTAAATGATGGTAGAGGAAACTGTTCTAATAAGACTATAAAAGCCTGCGCTGACGTATATCGAAGAATAAGGGAATATCGTAAAAGATTTGATGAAAACTTTGACTGATCAACTGGTTTGTTGTATTTTATTTCATTGAGTTCAGTTATTAAACCATTTGACAAACTATTTTTTTCAACGTAATTTTTTATATAGGCTGGAAAATTCTCCAATACACTTTTTTTTTCAATACACAGCCAATATTTCGAAACCATGGAGGTAACGGAATATAAGATGATTTAGAAAACAATGAAATATGCATAAATTCATCAACTACAATTGTTTCTGTAACTTCAAAAATACCTAAGTGCTGATTAATTTCTAACTTAAAAAATATGTATTTCCCATTAAAAATTTTAAGCTGATACCCTTTAAGGCTAAAATTATTTAAATCATTTAAACAGTGAATTTTATCTTTTTCTATAAATATACTGGATTCATCCTGATTGTTTAATAAATGACGGACAGACGGTGGCTTTCTAGTTTTCTTTGTAGTTGGATATACTGATGGTGGTATTTTTTCAGTTAAGCAATAAATAGTTGGAACGGGATTTAAGTCCCAAACTAATGTTACTCTTTTGCCAATTTTTAAATAACTTTCTTCAAAATGTTTAGCACAAATAGCCGAATTCTTACTGGCCTTCCATAACTTTCGATTGACAAATGCTACCCACTGTTTAAATAAGGCAGGATTATTTTCTGGAAATCCAAAAAGTGGATGCTTTTCAGGAATGACATCAATTTGATCCTCCCTCTTTTTATATCCAGTTTTACAATAAACTACAGCACACGTATTAACCATATTATGAATATTCAAATAAACAATTTTTGAATATTCAAATAAACAAGACGCTTAGGAAAGTCTAAAAGTTATCCTTCTAATTTTTCGCTCCGAAAAGCAAGATATCCGGCCGTGTAATTATAGTAGGCCATGACCTCAAGTCAAAATGACTTTTCTTAGAAGTTTTGGAAAAATTCCTAGTCAAAAAAGAGAGGAGATATAATATAGTGAGAGATCCTTTTGAAAATTTTAAGAGACATTCCTAAATGAAATTGAAACTAGATTATATTTCGGTTAATCCTATTATAAATCCTACTATCCAATAAGACATTGGATATAAAAACATCCTATAGGTTTGGTATGGAATTCTGAAAGGTCTAGTTCCAAGATCTATGAGAATTACATTTGTGCAACTGAACATCTTATGTAGGAAGTACCTAGATTTGTAGGAACCTAGGTTCATTAATATTATATGTAATGTTTACCAACAAAATAAAAACTATATATGTTACGCACAAATTGGCGCGTTTCAAGAAATGTGTAATTTTGTAAAGTGTAAAACAGGTGCAACTGGATAGCACATTCATTTATTTCATTTTACAAAATAAAATCAATACAAAGCTAGGATCAGTTACAAATAATTATGTAACTGACAAAAGCGTGGCGACCTACAAATATTAACCGTAAATTTAAAAAAGTATATAAACTAAATAGTAAATTACTAATAATAATAAAATTAATAATAATAATCTTGAGGAAAGAAATTTAAAGGCAGGCTCGATTAAAAAGTATTTATTTTCCTTACAAAGCTTTTGTACTTTTTTAATACTTGATAAAACCGCTTTGGAAATTTCTGGCTGTTTAAAATCAGATATACACGATTTGAAGCTTCAAACGACAGTATGGTGTAAAACCTACAATCGAGATGATGCTATGAACTTTTGGTATCGTCAAGAAGTTGACCATGATTCTATGGTAACTCCAGATAAATAGCTCAGTATCTCAGTTCTGAAACTTCAATAAGAGCACAGAAACTTTTTGAATTTTTAAATCAAAATGAAAAACAGCTAAACCAAACTGATTTTGTAACTATGCAAGACTATTTGCTAGTGGAAATTCATATCGGCAATGCTAATAGGTCAGGTCTCGCAT